CTTCGTTACCTCACACTCCACCGGGAAAGTGTTGATTCCCCAACCACTTGCACAGGAGCCAACAAAAAACTTTGCCTTCCAATCTTTAATCTTGTTTTTGAGACCTAACAAGTGGATCTTGAGGCCAGCGATGAACTGAATGTAGTCATCCCGACCGATCCTAAAGGTGAAGAAGTGGTTAAATAGTTTGATCGGCCAGTGAATCTTAATCCTTCGACAGAAAAGGACGAAGGTCATTATGGCCACTGAATTCGGAAGAACTTAAGCGGTTATGATCCCGTACCGACTGAAAATCGACCACAACTTCCTATAAAGTGGTAGCCAAAGACCCATTTTGAATTGATCTTTTTAGAAAAATAAATCAAGGGAAAAATGACCCGTGGCTTGCTCATTGTTTGCTGTCGACCGAAGCTGAATCAAGGGGTCATGAATGTAAAGACTATGGTTCTGCCACGTCTATTGTGGAAAGGATGGAAACCTCCGAAGCAAGAATCAAACCGAACGACTTCTAAGAGAATTTCCGCGCCATGAAATCAGACTATCAAGCTGGAAAGAAAGGGAGAAAGAAAATGGCAAGTAGTGGGAGGGAATGGAAGCCTCTGATGCCAGACGCATATATATATATATAAATATATATATATTCATGCACATATATATATACAGACACGGGAAGATGAAACGTCGCCGACAAGACTAATGTGATGGGAGTCACACAATACTTGAGAAAAGTTAATCATGACCAGAAATTGCACTTCATTTTATTTATTTATTTAAAAAATGGTGGGGTACATCACACAAAACTCTGGGAAATATTAAGAAAGAAAAAAACTTAACAAGATGATCATTTGTCGCTTCGACCGAGACAAACCTTTTGTGAAGTAATCTCCCATATATAAATTCACCACCCAATTTAAAAAGGTTAGACCATCCCCCGACTGAACAACAAGACCCGCTCTAACGGCCAACAACTCCAAACATAAGTGCATCATCTCCCTCCGAGCAGCAAACATCTCTTCCCGAAAAGCACTGAATTCCTCATGTAGAGCGAAGACCTCTTTTTCCCCTGATCGACTCTCTCCAAAACCCAGGCAACTCTCCTATCACTGTCTCCCCGAGGACATCACATGAAACGAGCGAGATGATCCTCCATATCCGCGAGATATTCACCAGTGATTCAAAGGACACCAAACGCCCCTCAGCCACCTTCTCTTCCCTTGCCACGCCGAGAGAACCTTGGCGACCCGAACTTTTGCCTTTGCCACGAGACAAATTCTTGCCATCCATCCTCTGGTCCTCGACACCCATGCCCCTCACAACGGCAAGTTCCATGACGGCCACTTCATCCTTAGGATCGGCTTCATTATCTTACGGAATAGAATCGGCCGTCGGGATTTCTATAGCTGCATCAAAGAAAGTCATGCATCTTGAGGAGTTGTTGCCCTCACTACATATCCAAGATCCGGTTCCAATAAGACGTGGTGTAAGAATTAGCACCCTCACCGGTCTTCTCTAGCCCTCCATCCACAGAAGAAAAATTGCCCTTCGGTAGATGGAGTGATGTCTCCATCCCAGTCATTACCCCACCTTGACCATCTTGAGGAGTTGTCGCCCTCACTACAATCTAGACGGGTGTTTCTTTTCCTTCGGCAAGAACATCCATTTTCGATGGGTGCACTGAAAGACGATCGTTAGATTGGCCTTCAGCCCGCTTCAGAGCCCCTTTTTGCAGCAAGCTTGCAAAGAAATCAGAGGATTTGTTCTGATCCTCATGATCGCCAGTTCTTGACCGCTACCCAACCCTCTTCTTGCTCACTTCTCCCGTAGAAGCTTCACCCGTTGGTTTTGTTTTACATCTAATTTTCGAGCCTTTGTCTGCATGCCACAAATTGCCTTGAGGAGGGCATCTTTATCGGCATATGACACTCCCTCACTCAACAACGCAACTAACAAACAAAAAAAGAGAAAAGAACCAAAAGAATGAGATGGGAGGAAGATGGCACAGACCTCTCTTGCCCTGTGGACTATTTATAGGTAATCTAAGCGTGGAAATCTATGGAAGTTCATTATTGAGCAATAATGACATTTAATTTGAAATTTTTTATGTATATTTTATTTTTGTACAAGTGAAAAAGTTTCTCTTGTTTTTATGCAAAACACAACTTTTAAGAAGCAAAAGAATCTTGAAATTAAATATGTATATAAAAAATATATTGGCACAAATCTCAAGACAATTAGATGGTTCAGAGGAAAGGGGCAACCGATAGCATGACGGATTGTCTGTAGCCATCAATGACGGACGGTCACCAGGCGACTGACGTACAAGATGCTGACGAGGAGAAACATAGAACCAACAAACTAGACGAATCAAATACAAACAAGCGTATCAAAGGACTTTGTCCCCCAGACCAACGTTCGACTTTATTCGAACTGATCGACATATAACTTTATGTTGGATCAAGTATTGATGGAGTAAATGCGGAACGAATGGTCAACTAGTTTCCCATTGACCAGATGAGTCGATTGGTTTTATTGTATTTAATATCTTGTAATTTACTAAAAGGCCCCTCAAAGCTAATCATGAGCTGGCTAATATGTAATTTTGTAGGATCCAGCGTCCCGGACCCTATGTCTATAAATATGTGTGTGGTCTTCATAATAAAGGGATTAGACACTTTTTACTATTCATTATTGTTTCTTCTTCGTCTTCCTTGTACGCTACTTGGGTATACTTCCTGGACACTTGAATTCAACAGATACGATCACATACAATATAATGGAAGGTAGTTGTGTCGGAAATGGAAGAGAATTGAGAGTTTTTAAAAGTTTTTTTTGTATATTGGGATACTTTGGTGATGAATCCTCTCAATACTAAAGGAGAGGTCTGAGTTCAATTCAAACAGATAGACCTTTCCCTCACAGAGAAAAGGAGAAATAAAACCTGATGCGCCGCTCTCTCATTTTCCAGTGAAGTTCACATTTTAAGCTTTGCCTGCATAGATCCCTTATCCCAGTCGACGCAACTAATGCAGCGTTGGAGCTAAAGCCGGGGCCGAAGCTTAAGTGGATGAAAAATCATGATTAGTAAGATGCGAAATAAGACAATTTAATGGTATAAAAATTTGAAGCACTTGAGCCTTGACCCCATAATAATTGGAAGAGTACATTTGGCCTTTGAAATATTCATGCACATACAATGTTCAGTTGGACCTGCTTAATTTGTTCATGATTATGTAATGGTTAACAAACATGTCATAGCTTTGTTCGGAGCGGCTGCAATATGTTTTTGACAGCGGTTGTAAAGTTGTGAAGCAAGTAATTTTTTTGAAAGTTAAGATGAGTATTATAAATATTTCCTTTTTGGAGAATTTATATACATACCACCCAATTATATATATATAACACCTAAACTTTTACTTTTTACATTTATACCACCTAAAATTTTCATCACATAAAAATTACTACTATTTTAACTTAAAAAAAATGAAATACACCTTTTAATGCATAGGTAAGGTTACATATATGTAAAAATTGAAGTTTAGGTGTTAGATATATAACGCGGGGCTCTACTGAACCGGGGTTGACCCAGCTGGGAAGGCTAGACTGGTTTAGAGAGGGAGCAAGGGGACCTGCCAACCCAATTATTTGGGTTAGGGTTGCCATCCAAGTGCACCTAGCTATTTATTATTATAAATATGCTCTTTCCTTTATTTAGGGATAATTTTTGGCTTTGGAGATTTCTATCTAGCTTGCTGTTGATGGTTGTTTTCTCGTCTAGAATTGTATCCAAAGGAGAAAATGTGCTCTGGCTGTAACTCATCCGAGTAATTATCTTCTCCAAAGGTTCGAGGGGTGCTTCGACTATAACTCGCTATTGCAGGAGTAGTTATACTTTACCTACTCCCCTTGCCTGCTTGCTCCCCACCCATCGACACGCCAACCTCCACCCTGTTCTGCTATGTTCTGCTACTGACCAACCATTCTACACCCTCACCTTCTGCCACCCCGCCATCCTATATACCTTCACCTGTTGCTGACCAGCCATTCCTCACCCTGTTCAGTTGCCGATCAGCCATTTCACACTCTGTACAGCTGCCGATGGCCGATCCTATACCTTCACCTCCCACCGAACCTATAACCTCACCTCCCGCAGACCATCCTCTCCCCTAACCCCACCTACTGCTGCACCCCATCTGTTGCTGCCAGCTCCAACCCTCTACTGCACCCCATCTGTTGCTGCCAGCTCTTCCTGCACCCCCTCTACTACCGCAACATCACAGACTGTCGCCCACCTAATGTTCAGTTGGCGTTCCCCCTCTCATCCTCGCCCTAGATGGTTGATTGTGTTGTATGTTGTTTTATTCTTGTTTCAAGCATTTTTGTTTGTAACCCTTTTTAAATTTTAACAATAATATTTTTATTTTTATTATGGTTTGGGTTAACTCCGGGATCAATATACGTAAATACACGAGAATTGAGTGCTATATATGGAATTCTCTCTTTATTTTTTTTGTTTTTGTGAAAAAGTTAGATAACAAGTTTCTTATGACTATCACATACGAGCGGATTTGAGTTTGAAAAATAGCTTCAAATCACACAAACTTCTAAAAGGCAGCAAAAAAAAAACAAGAATTTGAAAGCAAAACAATGAGAAAACCGTCCCAAACATGCTCCCAAATCCATAATATCAAGAGTTTTTATGTGTAGGTGATTTCGTGATACAAACTTCTAAAATTGTTTTTGCCTCCTGAGTGATGTGTATGTGAATATTCTGGTTTGTTGATTCTTCCTTCTCAATCCCACAATTACTTCTTTTTACTAGACTAGGCTAAAAATGTTTAGCTTCATATGATTGTGGTTCTAGTCTTTTGAGTTCTTTGATACTGAATATGGACGATTCTGCCATCTGCCAAACTATCACATTTTCTTTCAACAGACCTGGGAAAATTAATTTTTGCATGGAGTCTAACAATCAAAATTTTAAATGTTGCATTTTTTGCCAGAGAGTTCTGAATAGAATCAATACTTTCACCAACGTGAAGTATAAGGATGATCCAACAATCTTTGCATGGGAATTAATGAATGAGCCACGCTGCCTATTGGATCCATCAGGTGATACTCTACAGGTTCGTATCTTCCCTTCTTTGACTGAAGTTTTCCTTTTTATTTTTTTTTCAAAATTGTTTTTCTTGTTGTCTGGATGCGTTGATCTATGCAGAAAAATAGATATGGAGAATTAGAAGATCATAACAGTTATCAACAGAGGCATTTGCTCAATAAAAATATATAAATGAATTTCTTAAATATAATTGAAGAATTATAAAAATAAAAAATCGAATTGATAATAAAAAGTTAAGTTATTTTTTTTTCTTTTTAAAAAAGAATGGCCGGAGGCTATGATACGAGCCTCGGCCCTCATGCGCCTATAATTTGAGTACCACACCCTACACTCGGGAGGGAATCGAACCCTAGACCAGAGGGGACTTACAATTGAAAAGTAAATGCCCGATCAATTGATTTAAGTACGCGACGCATAAAAAGTCAAGGTAAATTAAAATTACAACTATTAATTAAATTGATATTTTAATAATTAAATCAAATTAACCAAATAAGATTGATTTCATTTAAATTTTTAGTTGTAATCAACAAATGAAACAATGCACAGCCCTATTCAGGATCCTACCTACTTTATGAATAAAATGTTTCACTTTTTAAAAGTTACAATGGTCATATTTTTGATCTGATAGGAAAGAGTTGGATGGTATAAATTTAAAACCTAAATGTAGGTGTTAGATATATAAATACATAGGAATTGGATGGTATGTAAATAAATGCCCTTGATTATTTTTATATAAATCTTCTTTTTTAAAATGGCACACAAAGTAATTTTGACTGTTTTATTTGGCAAATCAGGCATGGATAGAAGAGATGGCTCATTTTGTCAAGTCCATCGATCCAACCCATATGCTAGAGATAGGGTTGGAAGGTTTCTATGGCCCCTCAACACCAGAGAAAGTGCAACTTAACCCTAACTCTTACATGGGACAAGCTGGAACTGACTTTATCAGAAATCATCAAACTCAAGGCGTCGATTTTGCTTCAGTTCACATCTATTCAGACACTTGGTAAGTTTCCATCTTGCATGAAATTTTGAAATTCTGCACTCAGATTATTTGATGAACTGTTAATTTATAAGCGAAATGTCAAAATAGTCCCAGGTGTTTACATGGGATCATTTTAATTCTAGAATCCATAAAATTGCTAAAGTAGTCATCAAATTCTTTAAACTGTGGTTGAAATCTTAAGGTTGTTAACAAGTCAATTTCGAGCTGAGTTGGGGTCTGCTCAAAATCGGTTGGAATGGGTTGGGTTCGGATTGAAATCGGCTCATGGCTCGTTATGTTTGATTTCGAGCCAACCCGGCTTGAAATTGAATCGAGCTCGATCTGTTTCGAAATCAAAATTAGCCGACTCAAGTGTAAGTTATTTGGATCCGTTCAACCTCAAAATCGGCTCGAACCGACTTGAGATTGAAACAAGATGGCTCAAATTGAGGTACTGAGATCCATTTGAGCTCAAAATTGGCTTGTAGCTCGTTATATTTGATTTTATTTAACATTTTATATAATTTTTATAAATGAAAAATAATTCAAACCAATCACGAACCTGTTTGAGCTGATCCATTTATGGCTGGAAATCATCCCGAAAAAAATTCTATTGAAAGTTTTGGCTCATAGCTCGGTTTGTTTATTTCGATTTGATCTTGATCTGAACTAAAATTTGAATCAATTTTCAATTAACTAACAATCTTCAAGCTAATTTCACGGTTCTATGAAATCGTCCTCCATGGGAACTATATGAACACATTAAAAAACTCTAGGCACTAATTTGATATATTTTTTTGCTAATTTATACATAACAATTGCATGAAAGGCTGCCGGATTCATACTCCGATGAACATTTTGACTTCGTCGAGAAATGGATGCAGAGTCACATGGATGATGCTGATAAAACATTAAACATGCCTGTTGTATTTGGAGAATTTGGGGTGTCTTTAAAGGATGAGAGATTTACCTCAGAGTTTAGAGAAGCTTTCATCAGCACAGTACACAAGATGCTGTTGAGGTCAAGCAAAAGAGGGGGAAGTGGGGGAGGAAGCCTGCTGTGGCAGCTGTTCCCTGAGGGGATAGAACACATGGATGATGGTTATGCTGTTGTTTTAGCCAAATCTCCGACGATGTCGAATATGATCTCCCTCCATGCCACAAAGCTTCAGAAGGTGAGTTCAGAATCCAGTTGGAATGATGGCAATGGTGAGGATGATGAACTTTTTCATGAAGAACTCTGATTAGAGGAGAGCTCAATTGGATGCTATGAAACTGCATGTAATATTTTTTTGCTCAGTTGTTGTGATGCCATACTACCTGAACTCTCTACAATATGTAAAGATTTTGTTTTGTAGGGCTCAAGTAATAAATAATCTTTAAATAGTAATTATTGGGTTTGCAAAAGTTTCTTTTTGATTTTAACACAATTTTTGATATTAGCACGGCTCTACCAGCATTTAAAGATTGAAGCCAAAGCTCCAAATCATTTAAGATTATTGCTAAGAGGGGTTATTCAAAAGACCCAAAAAACACTAAATTTTGCTAAATTTATTATTATTATTATCATTATTTTTATTAATGTGATGAGTAAATATATTTAATTTCAACTTGAAGTTCAGGTAGATGAGTCAATAAAGGTGAAGGGTCAAGTCAAAGTTTGGAATATTCTTGCAGCGGTGAGACTTTTTAAACTCAAGTAGAGTCTTCATGGGGGGAAAATATTACCTCACGACTCAGC